AATTTAAACTCGCATCTCCTGTGCGCAAGATCGAAACTATAACTATTTGCTCACCATCAAGCTTACAGCACGACGACCTTTCTTGTCTCGAAAGAGTGACAACTGAGGAATCGAAAAAATAAAAAGAAGAAGAAAAAAAAAACACCGGCATCCTCCGATGATCCTCATGAAAGAGAAATTTTAGCTGACATAAACAGCAGTAAGAAGGAGCCAAAGAGTAACAGTAGAAAGGCTAAAGAAAAAGTCAGGAGCCCAGGGGGAGGCAAAAGGGGGGGGGGGGGGGAGGGTAGAAAGAGGTGGGATGACAATAAAAGACAAAGAAATATAGATCGTTAAAAAAGAGAGGTTAAATACGAAAATGGTCAGATCTACAACTGAAAAATAAATAACGCCTGCTGTTGAGGCATTTAGCTCATATTAAAAGTTTATTGTACGCCCTACGCTGTTATACTTTTTTTTTTATTTGAGCACGAAAACTGCAGCATCAAAGTACTTGCTCACCTACATAATTTTAGTATACTGGTGGAGTTTTACTACGCATTTTGGTAAAACTACTTTTTTATTCCCATTTGTCAGCAATACTGTTGTGCTGTGAGAGATATTTCCTTGTGACTCTTCCTCTTTTACCATACACTGATAATTCTTAATTTATTATGAGCATGTGCATGTGGGTGTAAGTGCGTTTGTGTGTATGTGTGGGAGTGAGTGAGTAGGAGAGTGTGTGTGTGTGTGTGTGTGTGTGTGTGTGTGTGTGTGTGTGTGTGTTTGTGTGTGTACTTTGTTACCTTTTGGTTTGAACTCTTTGGACTGACTGTCCAGGAGAAACGAACAATTGCTATTCTTGTCATTGTTACGACTGCACCGAGTTAGGTAAATAATTTATAACTAAGGCATCTCCACAATGTGGCGAGACAGATAATATGCGCAATGACTGTCCCCAGTAAAAGTGTAAACAAGTGATGTACATAATTCCTCATAAAGGTTCTCCCTAACCAACTTGATGTGTGTTTCTGAGCGCTATGCGTTAGCAGATGGGCACCATTGTGTACCTCAACTTGATATTGTTTTTTGTCAAGCATTTTACGTTCACTCGTGATTTCATGTATTCGCTGTACTCGCTCGGCCTAGACGCGTGGAGTCATGCATGGGCACGGCGGTGTAAGGGCCTACTTTTATCATCATCATTTCCTCAAGCTCTGAGCCTACGCTCGTACGATGCGGACGTCTGTGACACTGCTTCAGACTCCCTAAGACGTGATTAGTTATATCAGATTTCAAGGCCCTTTATTCACTTGACTTGGTACAATAGGAGATGGACGTCCAAATGCAGGTTCATCCTCTGTTTTTAAACGCATTGAACATTAAAGGGCGCACAACTCCAATCTTGAGGGGAAAAAATCTCTTTACATAACTGAAGAAAATCTCTCTTCCGACAATACAACACGAAACAATGCTGTCTATCCACAGTTAAATGGCAAAAACTCATGTTGCATTTTTTCCGAGCTCCGATGTTATGTCTTTATGTATTTGGCCGTAAAACATTTAATTTTATTCAACTTCCCATCAATGGCTTCGTAGTATCTATTTTTCGTTTCCTACATGTATATTCATTTTATCAGGTCATGCATGGCTCCACTCGATGTAATTCATTATTTTCTTGTATTGATTTTGTTCATTGCCGCGATTGATGTACCCTTACAATGTTGAATCTCTTCACGTACAAAGTGTTTCACAAAGCAATAACAGTTCTCCTGCAGTTCATCGTGGCTTATATTTCTCGCAAAACGAAAATAAAAGTTTTACATGTCGTTGTTTTTCTAGAGGTAGTAAATGTCTGAAAGTGATTGAACTTTTATAATACGGGTGTTGGCATATGCGAACCAGTGTACGACTAAGAAGGTCGCATAACTAAATACATTGTATATTATAAACCTAGGAATAATTTTATTTTGTTTGTGACTTTTAGTGGACGTCTAGAGGTGTTAATGTACAACTATAAAGAACGTAGACTGTGAGGACGAAAGGCGGAGAACGCCATAAATGGAAATAATGAGATGACTTCATTGCTTTATGATAATTCTCCCTGTTTCCAAACACATGAAAGGAACTTTTGTAATATAAGAAAAAGAGAAACAAACAAAACGGAAACGTAATAAAACTCGTTTTTCATCCCACGTAACGACTTTTCTCCGGACAGGAATAAAACAATTCTTTCATTGGCCGTCAGACTGCCCCATATTTTTACTTCTACTGGCATAAGAAATGTACATGAACATCAAAGCATCCGCTTGTTTCAGTTTCAAGTAAACAAAAAACTATAGTAGATTACTACCATGCTATAAGTATCCTCCCTTATACCTTAGAGTTTAGCCATCCGGAATGTTCCCAGCAATGAAGGTAATAAATCTTTGTTGATGCGCACGTGTGTAATTAATCCCGTATGCACTTGGCCACCATAATAATAAAAAAAAATGCTGAACAATGGACGCTCGCCAGAAGTTGAGGGAGCCAGATCGGAGAAAAAAAAATTTCTTTGTAGGACAGACAGCAATGTGAAATATGTCCCCTGTGCTGGTAATCCTGAAAAATCCAGATTTGTCATTTTGTGTTTGTTGAATAAAAGTAATTATATAACAGTGTTTCCATGTCATTCGTATTACAAATATATATGTCAGGGATGATAAGCTTTTATACAGTCGAACGTCGTTTCGATCTCATCTGTTTTTCATGTATCTATCTCTTTTTTCCCTACTAAAGAGATTTAGCAAGGGAAGACTGTTCTGATTATTCTGACCTCAAGACAACCACAAAACGGCTACAAACAGAATCAGTAAAAATTGGTGTGGAATCCCATTCTTCCTATGGCATATATTGTGCAGCGAGGAGCCCCAAGATTTGGAGCACTGACTGCAGAGATGCCCCGCCATGGAGGCCCGGCGGTGGCATCTCTTCGGGGGTGGGGGGGGGGGATTCAGGGAGGTTGGACTGCCTCACCCGCTACCCAAGGGAGGCGGTGGCCCTGGCGAAGAGCACACTCTTCGGGGCTCCGAACATTTCGAACGATAGGCTACCACACACAACAACAACAACAACAACAACAACAACAACAACAACAACAACAACAACAACAACAACAACAACAACAACAACAACAACAAGAAATAAAAAAGCACAGACAATTCAGTTCGTTCCCGCCAAATTATTCCAGCTATAGCATAGCGAGAGACCCTGATCTAAACTGTGAACCAACCCCCCACCCCCCCCCCCCCCCTCTCGCCACTGCAGTGATTCCATGAAAAAAGAAGACTTGATGCTTCTCTTCCTTCAACAAAGTCAGCCAGGGAATCTCTTTGTCTTTTACAAGTGGTTTCCCCTGAATACTGGAACATTATCTCTTGCATGCCATTTTAATCCCGAACAACAATCTAGATCCTATCTCATTGACAATACTGACGTCTGTAGTGTAGCGATTAGGCACTTCGTCATGGCACGCGGATGACGTGAGTTCGATACCCTGGTGGGGAGTTATCTGTCGAGTATATAGGGTCGCTTTTAAGGACAAGCGGCCTAACCCAGATTTCAGGGGTTTCTAGAAATCTTGATCTACTCCAAAAGTGAGCATTTCCCTACCTATAAGGGAAGTTTGGTTATAGAGAAAACTCTCCTTGTCTTTTAAAGAAACTGAACAAGGGCAAAAACTTTACCTTCAATTTTCTGTAAACAGTATTTTTCGGGATAGCCCCCTTGTGCTTAGAAGCGACCACTGGGTGTCTGCTGGGACGATGTTTCCCATTCAACCCGTTTTGGCTTTGACAGGCAGGGTCGAAGCAGTCTGCCTCCTAAATGATCTAAATTGTGCCGGTGCGGGTGTAAAACATTTACCATTTACAGTTACATTTACAGTTCGCACTATGGCACTTATCTTTAGGGCCAACATGTTTCAGGTCTGAAAAAAAAAGGCATGACGAAAGGGGATGCAATCATTCACTACGTTTAATTGAAATACGGCAATTTTGCATTTTCTCATTGTCGTGAGTGTAAAACACTGAAACAACAGACTCCGATTTGAGTTCAGATAAACGTGGATGAAAACAGAGAGGTGTGAGAAAGATGGCAAGATCCATACATCGATGTTTTAGCATATCCAGACAAAAATTAAAGTCTGTACTGTAAGCTAGTTTTACGTAATGAAAGGGTTAAACATTTCACAAGAGTAGGCGAGCATAAAAACTGTACTATCATGAAAAAGGAAAATAGAAAAACTGATATCAGCCAAATATTTAACTCGGATCTACGCAACGTGTACACGTTGCCAAAACGTTCAACTGCCAAGACGTGCTCGCGACAGGGGATTGGTGCACTGAACTGCAGCACATCAGCTCATAGTGCAGGGATAACTCACTCAGGTCTCACACAGCTTATTCTCACCAGGTAATTCCATTTTTTTGTTTTAGTAAAGAGTTTCCAAAGAACTTTGAGCTTTGAAAATTCACCAAGTAGTGTTTCTTGCAGCGTCGGATTCGCGTGACTTGCTTATTAAAATTATACCAGTATAGTTAGGCGAAGGCTGAATCTCTCGATTTATTATGTAGTATTTAACATTTGATAGCATGACTGGAACAAGAGTAAAGACCCAAATTTGTCACTTTAATAAATGTCGTTTAAGATGCCCTCTTTTCTTTTTTTTTCAAAGCGTTGAGCCAATGTAACCGGTGCACACATATGGAATCTCTAAGACACAGTTATTCGTCAAACTCAGAGTTGAATACATTGATAATAGATTACTTTTTTTCATTGCCTGGTATCGTTTATACTGTCCATCTATCAAATTTTCATGAATCAAAACCTATTCCTTGCGCTTATCCTAGTTTACTTTTAAAGTGAAAAACGAGTAGTTCAGACGAACTGTTGAATAAAGAAGCAACCATGAAACACAAATCTTTCTTGTCTGTTTTCAGTACCTTAGAGAATCAGCCTCTTGTGGAAGCCTGCAAAACAGTTTTATCTAAAAACAAATGACCAAAGATGAATGCTCATTTTGTGGGTCATGGTTGTTTTTTTCTCTAGAAATAGGTCAGCTGACCATAAAAATCATAACGCTACAGTTTGTTATGACCTATCATCTAACTTACCCTTACCCCAAGCTACATCTTCTATTCCAGGGACTATCAAAGTATTGCAGCTTGTTAGGTGTATTGCTACCTTTCACGTATGCATCTCCCCTCCTTATTTAGCAGCCATTGGCTGCTGAGTATAGGTGTTTTTAGACCCCCATTGACACATTTTAGATCATTCAGGAGGCGGGCTTCCGACCCAGCTTGTCAGAGTCAACCGGGGTGGAGAGGGATACAACATCCCAGCAGGAATACCGAGATACTCCATAACAAATGTTTGCCTACTCGGGAATTGAACTCGGGTCTCCTACGTGCAACAGGAATGTGCCTAAGTGCTACACCACAGACACCGGTGGCAAATAAATGGAAAATGGTATCTGAACAAAATGGGAATCTCTCTGTCCTCCATGTTCTTTATTCTAGTGAAAAGTTGCGGTTTTGAGGCCTCTTATTGTTCTATTCCCAGCAACAAACTCTCAGAAAACTGTCCATTAACTTTATATTTTGGAGACTAAATAAGAAACAGGCCTACTAGTGACATAAAAATAAAAATGAGAAAACGTCTAGCTTCTTTTTTTTTTAAAGAGAAGAAAAACGAAGAGAGTAATCCCGCGAATATGTATGTTTCCAAGTGCAGCATAATCTGTCATTAGAAAACAACTTCAGGCTCATGGATTTTATAAAATATATTAACTTTGAAAAGAAGTTTCACCGCAAACCCTGCAGTACCTTTAGGCAGACTCCTAAACAAACCAGTTTGTAAGGCAGGAGGGAACCAGCCATACGAAATTTCAAATTTATAAAACTGATTCTTTTTTAAGTTACAACAATTATTGTAATGCGTAGCATCATATTACTTTTTACACACGGCACTGCTTATTCCTAGAACGTATGAGAAAGAAAATATTCCATGAAGGAATTTAACCAAAATTCCGGACAACCGCGATGAGATTTCAATTGACGTGGAAGCACCTATTCACGTGAAAGGTAGGTTAATCTAAAACCAGCATATAACCTTTCCTGTACATTTTTGTAATAGACAGAGAAGTTACCTGTGAAAATACCACCTCTTTGCTTGTATGTCGATTTAACACCGATTTCAAACGAAACTACTAAACACATTATCGAAGTTAGATACCAAGGTACCAAGCGACTCGTGAACGTAGTTCGCAAAAAAATTACTTTGACAACAGCCAGAAACCTCGCTTCACTACTGCAATAGCGATACGCCACGCTCGACTGATGGATGGTAAGTTATTGTGCTGTCCCTTCATCACTCTCGCCACATGGCAGCTGGCTAGACACCGTGGTTGGAGTTTAAAAGCCTATTGAAGAAAGAAAGAGTAATGATTACACAGGCTGTCATTTTCTCTTCTTGGACTAAGGTTTCTCTACACGCATCGTCAAGCCACATTTTGATGAAGGACGCAGCAATTTTTATCAAGTCCGCTCTGGTGCCGTGAAATAATGCAGAAACCGACCCATCAAAAAATTGAATTAACCTCCATTGCAGCAGGACGCCTTATCAACGCCACAGCCTCCCTGTCGTAGCGTGGCATCTTTCCCGCTCACTCAATTTGATTCATATCAGTTCCTTTCGTGTCGTTCTGCCCATCGAGGTTCCTCCTCGTTTAAAGTGGGAATAATAAATCTTGCCTTTGGAATAACCTAAGACAAACCAACAACAACAAAAAAAAAACCCAGAAAGAAAGAGCAGACAAGTTGATTCGTTGTCTTTGCACCCAGATAGGCGTTTCTCAAACAAACAAGAGTACCGATAATGTCGAAAGCAGAATATGGACCGTCCAGATATCTCAGTTCTCATTATACGATTGTCATGACACGATACGAACATTTCTTGTTCCTTTATATAATAATGCGCTCCGATTGTTTTTCTCTTCCCAGAAAGTTCTTTTTGACCCACAGCTATTCAATCAGCATGCTTCGAGTTCTCTTCGTTCCTGTTGCATTAGCACTCGTCGCACCAGTGTCAGCAGTGAAGCAGTATTGGTGCCAGGTTGTCTGTTCTGACTTCGAATATGTGGAATTCTATTGCAATAGAGACTGCGCTGACAAAGAGGAGACGTTCGAAGCTCTCGAAAACTGTCTTATGGTCAGTACTTATTTCTTTCCTCCTCAGTCCTTCATTCGTCTTCGTACTTACCTCATCCTTGCCTTTCGCTTCACGCCCCCCTCCATTCCTTTTCTTTCATTCCCCTCTTCAGCTCTAAGTACATTCTCTCCTATGTTCACCCCTTGCCTTAATCCTCAATACGTATTCATTCATATACACAAGTATGTAGTTATATAGTCACCTCACCTTTGTTACAATGATAGAAAACTAAAGTGTAAGAAGACAGAAAGGGATTCTGTTTTAGTAGAAGCTTTACTGTACTTGCAAAATAATTTACGTCATATAAGTACCGAAGATTAGAGGTATTACAAGAGAGCAACAAATGCAAAAATGAAGGAAAGTTAAAGCCGACAGATGTTTGGCAGGACAGAAGGCGCAAACAACACCTTAGCAGTCGCCAACCAACCTCAAGGATTCTTTTTTTAGGCATATGAAGAAAGCAAAATGTAGATCCATACAAATCGAAATTTATGAAAGAAGTTACAAGATAACAGATCAAGGGGTGAAAAGATGAAAAGGATTAAACACACCCACACGCACACACACGCACACACACGCACACACACACGCACACACACACACACACACACACACACACACACACACACACACACACACACACACACACACACATACACAAACATGCAAGCATACATACCCATACAGAGAGAGAGAGAGAGAGAGAGAGAGAGAGAGAGAGAGAGAGAGAGAGAGAGAGAGAGAGAGAAAGAGAAAGAGAGTGGGGGGGGGGGGGGGGGAGAGACAGGAGGGGGGGAGTAAAGAGGCGGACAGAGAAGAGGAAGAAAAGTTCGTCCTCGGTGCAACTAGTACTTGACAATCCTCAACCTCACTTCGTTTTTATCTTTTTGCTTGTCCAGGACTGTGAGGTGAAAACGTCTACTTGCAAGGACGTTTGTCACGAAAACTACGACAGGATCTCTCTCATCTGTGCCAAAAGATGTGGTACAGACGACGAATGCCTTCACAAGTGTGCGGCGTCCGAGTTCAAACCTATCAAGCCACCCTTGCCTACTTCGATAGCTCCACCAATTGGAGATCTCGTATAGAGGGATCTGACCCGTGTTATTTCGTAGGTTTTTGGGGGGGGGGGGGTAGGGAAGAACACATAGACCGAGAAACAAACATACACACACACACGCGCGCGTGCGCACACACACACACACACACACACACACACACACACACACACACACACACACACACACACACATAACGCAGAGAGAGGGAGTAGAGACAGAGACACTAAGAAAGAGAGAGAGAGTCTCGGGGAGGGAGGGATATATATATATATATATATATATATATATAGAGAGAGAGAGAGAGAGAGAGAGAGAGAGAGAGAGAGAGAGAGAGAGAGAATCAAGGAGAGAGACTCAGAGTATGAGAGAAAGAGAGAGAGAGAGAGAGAGAGAGAGAGAGAGAAAGAGAGACGGAGCAGGAGGGGATAGGCCGTTACGTGTGGCTGTGGCACACACAAAGAACATAATTTGTATTCCATGACTGTCGTGGAACTGATGCTTCATTGTGAATAGTAAAATTAATGTTTCAATTGTCTATTATACGAATGTTTCAATGCTGTGAAATAGTAATGCAATCATACCCACAACATGGCGTTTTGGAGTTTCTCATGGTAGTGATTTTTGTCATCATTGGTAGGATCAACAAGCTTCAATTTAAAAAAAGACTGACAAAACCAATGAGTAATCTTTAAAATGTTTTCATTGTTTTACCCACCATCCACACGATCATTTAATAGTCCGGCTGCCTCGGTGCTACCTCTCAGGGCCAACCTGGGCTGAGTGGGATGTCTTTTTCCAGCAGACAGAAGAAAATCCGTATTAAAAGAACTTATCCACATGGGAATCAAATACATGTACCCGCTTTCGAAGTGCGAAGGCACCCCAAGACCCGGTGGGAGTAACCTTGACACAGCATACTTTTAGTAACTACGTCCGTTTCCTGGTTTGTTTTTAAAGGTTATTTCAGCTCTACAGAACATCATTGACACAGTATACTAGTCTTTCAGTGAGGAGAAAACGGGCAGGCAGAACCGACAGAGACCATTATGCGCCGGTCAGTGGACCCTCCTGACGCCAAGGCGAGGGAGAGGTGGGCACTAATAATGTAATATTAACCTTTAGATTTCACTGCTGTCTATGATGAAAATAATTCAATAAAAGTTTCAATGAACAGTAGCAGGAACATGTCACATCACAGAGCTCAGCAACCCCAAACCTTTCGAAATCCATGTCAGACAAGTTCATCACCTATTACGCCACAATTGTCTGTGCGATATTTCCAGTTTTCACAGTTAATGTGCCCCAAAATAGTCCCAGTGTCTTTTGCTCCAGCGACAATCTAAAGTGACTTGTCCATCTTTGTAAACGTAGCCACACTGGGATAACAACAAATTCACGTTTTCCGACCCTGTTCAAAATCCATTTTTTTTTAACTTCCGCAATGGAAATAAGCGCACAGGCTGGTGTCTGTGGTGTAGCTGTCAGTTGCACGTGGAAGACATGAGTCCGATTCCCACGAGGGGAGGGGTGGGTTTTTAAAAATTATTTCCGGGTCTTTTCTCTGTAACATTGTTTCCCTCTCACCCCGGGTTGGCCTTGACAGGTACAGTTGAAGCATCCAGCCTTTTCCAGGTGACCAGAAAAAGTGCGTCCACATGAAAGCCGATAAAACCGTTATGAATTAAGGTATAAACACCAAAGGTTTGCAGAAACACGGTATATCCATCCAGATTTGTTCTGTATTAATAACAATAAAATATGACAGCTACAAACAAAGCTACAATATATCTTCCAGATACCGCCCAATGTCAAGTAAAACACATTCTGACACGCAGATTGAAGTTGACAATCTCCTGTTGACACTGATCAGGGGAAATCTCTTTCGTGGCCTCCACGGTGGTTTGCTCAAAATCTTGCACGCCTTCAAAGGGTTTTCCCCACACAACTTATCCTTCCAACACTTCAGAAAAACCATTCGACTAGAAACCAAAACCAGTAGATATTTTCCGACCATTTGAGTTCAATAAAAATATAAAATGTACATAATAACTACCAAAGGCTACATACAACCAGTCCCAACTTGGCTTCTGGCACTATCAGTTCCTTTGTACCACACATGTTTTTTATTTAAACTGTCCTTCCGTTAACAGTTGTTTTTACTAGATAAAATTATACATTCACAATATGCTTGGTTTCATAACACACGGGTAGCTTGATAGACGAGTTGCGTAGCCTCTTCTCATTAACATACCGTGGGGGATGGAACAGACAGAAGTTCTTTTAAATGTGATAAACACAACTGGAAAACCGACTATTATAGTACGGGCCCTTGGATTTACTGTCTTATGTGCCATGCAAGAATTTCTCGGATTAGGGTTACTGGACTAGCTCAGATTTCTTTAGTAGCAAAGACAACAGGAATGAATGGGGTACCATGATCGTCAATATCTGCTCCAGACCTGACACCTAAGGAAGAAGTGTGCCTCTGAGGCACTGTCCTAACTTTAAACTTGACTTCTCAAAACTTCTCTTGACACAGTATGAACTATGTATTTCAAGAAAACAAAAAACAAAAAAGAAAAGAAACAAGCAAGACTAATTTGTATCGATTGGAGAGTAAAACAATTACAGCAATGACACATTATATAGGCTTCATTGTCTGCTTTGACCACCTGGTGCGAGCCCCAGGATATACCATACACGAATTTCTCAGGCAAATGATCTCAAAGTGCGCGGATCTCTTTTTTTATTTGTATGCATTCTTGGAGGCTCATGTGTCTCATAAGCATCATTAGCTCTTCGAATCTATGCAAGGACGAATGAATCTGCGACATCATAATATCGCAAGACAAGTGTATGATGTTCCTCAGAACAGCTGGTCTGATTCGAGGGATACAATGTTAACCGAAAATGTATTGCAGGTGAAATATTCCTACAACACTCTCCTATTTCTCCCTCCCCAAAGGGGCCGGGAAATACAAAGCGAAAGACATAACAACCCCCCTCCCCCCTCCCTGTTTCCCTTTTCCCCATGTAAGTTGCTGTCCCACTGACAATGGGAGTATCTACCCGACTGTCAGGGCGCGAATCAAACGTCACAACCTCCTCACGACGGAATTTACAGTATTCAGACTTCTTTCAAGCCGACCTGTGAAAGGACTGCATCCCGTCCCCCCTTTCCCCAAACCCTTTTATTACCAAAGACTTAAAAATTTTCCTAACAGCGCTGTGTGGGGCTCGTCTTCATCCATGTTAAGAGACGCCCGGGATATGGTCACTCAAAATTGACCTGAAATTACTTTAAAAGATCAGGCTTGGCAAAATTGCTTGAAATAAAACAAACGTAACACCGTCTTCGCGCATGTATTGTGGAGCATCAATATTGATAGAATGGACATACATTGCATATCCAATGAATGGAGAAATATGTCTCTGCAATAAACTATGTTTTATTTCTATAGTTTCAAACAAAACGGAGAACAGAGTAATCACAAATACCACACAAAATTCGGACTAAACATTAAATGAGCTCATTGCTATTTTGCTTAGCAGCCATTGGTTATGTGTAGGGCAAGATCCCTTTGAGCATCGACTCAATTAAATGTTGTCCATAATCATCTGCCATTTTTACCCCAAATGGCACAGACCGTTGGAAACAAAGGGCCGGAATTGGGAGAAAAGTCGATTTGCTGCAGCTGCTGTTTCATGGGGCTTAGCATACCACGTAAAAATCATATCTGGTCTATGTACTGGCGACCCACTCAGTCGTTGGTATGATTTGGTTTTCCAAGAATTGTCTAGTGGCACTGACCTTGTATAATGCATAGGCCTACCGCGTTGGAATTGAATTCATAGAGTGTTTTGCCTGAGCTCCAACTAGAGTGTCTTTTACCTTGTACTCTGCAGACACGTGTGTGTGTGTGTGTGTGTGTGTGTGTGTGTGTGTGTGTGTGTGTGTGTGTGTGTC